ACCAGTCTTAGAGACCATGTGTCTCTGATGTCATGTCAAAACATTATGTATAGTTACACCAGTCTTAGAGACCATGTGTCTCTGATGTCATGTCAAAACATTATGTATAGTTACACCAGTCTTAGAGACCATGTGTCTCTGATGTCATGTCAAAACATTATGTATAGTTACACCAGTCTTAGAGACCATGTGTCTCTGATGTCATGTCAAAACATTATGTATAGTTACAAGGCAGTGTGTCTCTGATGTCATGTCATGTGTGTCTCTGATGTCATGTCAAAACATTATGTATAGTTACACCAGTGTGTCTTAGAGACCATGTGTCTCTGATGTCATGTCAAAACATTATGTATAGTTACACCAGTCTTAGAGACCATGTGTCTCTGATGTCATGTCAAAACATTATGTATAGTTACACCAGTCTTAGAGACCATGTGTCTCTGATGTCATGTCAAAACATTATGTATAGTTACACCAGTCTTAGAGACCATGTGTCTCTGATGTCATGTCAAAACATTATGTATAGTTACACCAGTCTTAGAGACCATGTGTCTCTGATGTCATGTCAAAACATTATGTATAGTTACACCAGTCTTAGAGACCATGTGTCTCTGATGTCATGTCAAAACATTATGTATAGTTACACCAGTCTTAGAGACCATGTGTCTCTGATGTCATGTCAAAACATTATGTATAGTTACACCAGTCTTAGAGACCATGTGTCTCTGATGTCATGTCAAAACATTATGTATAGTTACACCAGTCTCTGATGTCATGTCAAAACATTATGTATAGTTACACCAGTCTTAGAGACCATGTGTCTCTGATGTCATGTCAAAACATTATGTATAGTTACACCAGTCTTAGAGACCATGTGTCTCTGATGTCATGTCAAAACATTATGTATAGTTACAAGTCTTAGAGACCATGTGTCTCTGATGTCATGTCAAAACATTATGTATAGTTACACCAGTCTTAGAGACCATGTGTCTCTGATGTCATGTCAAAACATTATGTATAGTTACACCAGTCTTAGAGACCATGTGTCTCTGATGTCATGTCAAAACATTATGTATAGTTACACCAGTCTTAGAGACCATGTGTCTCTGATGTCATGTCAAAACATTATGTATAGTTACAAGGCAGTCTTAGAGACCATGTGTCTCTGATGTCATGTCAAAACATTATGTATAGTTACACCAGTCTTAGAGACCATGTGTCTCTGATGTCATGTCAAAACATTATGTATAGTTACACCAGTCTTAGAGACCATGTGTCTCTGATGTCATGTCAAAACATTATGTATAGTTACACCAGTCTTAGAGACCATGTGTCTCTGATGTCATGTCAAAACATTATGTATAGTTACACCAGTCTTAGAGACCATGTGTCTCTGATGTCATAAAACATTATGTTAGTTACACCAGTCTTAGAGACCATGTGTCTCTGATGTCATGTCAAAACATTATGTATAGTTACAAGGCAGTCTTAGAGACCATGTGTCTCTGATGTCATGTCAAAACATTATGTATAGTTACACCAGTCTTAGAGACCATGTGTCTCTGATGTCATGTCAAAACATTATGTATAGTTACACCAGTCTTAGAGACCATGTGTCTCTGATGTCATGTCAAAACATTATGTATAGTTACACCAGTCTTAGAGACCATGTGTCTCTGATGTCATGTCAAAACATTATGTATAGTTACACCAGTCTTAGAGACCATGTGTCTCTGATGTCATGTCAAAACATTATGTATAGTTACACCAGTCTTAGAGACCATGTGTCTCTGATGTCATGTCAAAACATTATCTCTGTAACATATAGTTACACCAGTCTTAGTTACACCATGTGTCTCTGATGTCATGTCAAAACATTATGTATAGTTATGTCAGACCATGTGTCTCTGATGTCATGTCTCTGATGTCATGTCAAAACATTATGTATAGTTACACCAGTCTTAGAGACCATGTGTCTCTGATGTCATGTCAAAACATTATGTATAGTTACACCAGTCTTAGAGACCATGTGTCTCTGATGTCTCTTAGAGACCATGTGTCTCTGATGTCATGTCAAAACATTATGTATAGTTACACCTGAGTCTTATAGTTAGACCATGTGTCTCTGATGTCATGTCAAAACATTATGTATAGTTACAAGGTCTCTGATGTCAGTCTTAGAGACCATGTGTCTCTGATGTCATGTCAAAACATTATGTATAGTTACACCAGTCTTAGAGACCATGTGTCTCTGATGTCATGTCAAAACATTATGTATAGTTACACCAGTTAGAGACCATGTGTCTCTGATGTCATGTCAAAACATTATGTATAGTTACACCAGTCTTAGAGACCATGTGTCTCTGATGTCATGTCAAAACATTATGTATAGTTACCTATTACAGAATAGTAGCATAAATTACTACATTGTATGTATAGAATATTCCACCTATTACAGAATAGTAGCATAAATTACTACATTGTATGTATAGAATAATATTACTACATTGTATGTATAGAATATTCCACCTATTACCGAATAGTAGCATAAATTACTACATTGTATGTATAGAATATTCCACCTATTACAGAATAGTAGCATAAATTACTACATTGTATGTATAGAATATTTCACCTATTACAGAATAGTAGCATAAATTACTACATTGTATGTATAGAATATTTACATTGTATGTATAGAATATTTTGGATGAACACATAAATTACTACATTACATGTATAGAATATTTCACCTATTACAGAATAGTAGCATAAATTACTACATTGTATGTATAGAATATTTCACCTATTACAGAATAGTAGCATAAATTACTACATTGTATGTATAGAATATTTTACACCTATTACAGAATAGTAGCATAAATTACTACATTGTATGTATAGAATATTTTGTATGTATAGAATATTCACCTATTACAGAATAGTAGCATAAATTACTACATTGTATGTATAGAATATTTCACCTATTACAGAATAGTAGCATAAATTACTACATTGTATGTATAGAATATTTCACCTGTAACAGAATAGTAGCATAAATTACTACATTGTATGTATAGAATATTCATACCTATTACAGAATAGTAGCATAAATTACTACATTGTATGTATAGAATATTCCACCTATTACCGAATAGTAGCATAAATTACTACATTGTATGTATTTCACCTATTACATATTAAATTACTACATTGTATGTATACACCTATTACAGAATAGTAGCATAAATTACTACATTGTATGTATAGAATATTTCACCTGTACAGAATAGTAGCATAAATTACAGAATATTTCACCTATTACAAAATAGTAGCATAAATTACTACATTGTATGTATAGCATAAATTACTACATTGTATGTATAGAATATTCCACCTATTACAGAATAGTAGCATGTAAATTACTACATTGTATGTATAGAATATTCCACCTATTACAGAATAGTAGCATAAATTACTACATTGTATGTATAGAATATTCCACCTATTACAGAATAGTAGCATAAATTACTACATTGTATGTATAGAATATTTCACCTATTACAGAATAGTAGCATAAATTACTACATTGTATGTATAGAATATTTCACCTATTACAGAATAGTAGCATAAATTACTACATTGTATGTATAGAATATTTCACCTATTACAGAATAGCATAAATTACTACATTGTATGTATAGCATAAATTACTACATTGTATGTATAGAATATTTCACCTATTACAGAATAGTAGCATAAATTACTACATTGTATGTATAGAATATTTCACCTATTACAGAATAGTAGCATAAATTACTACATTGTATGTATATATTCCACCTATTACAGAATAGTAGCATAAATTACTACATTGTATGTATAGAATATTCCACCTATTACAGAATAGTAGCATAAATTACTACATTGTATGTATAGAATATTCCACCTATTACAGAATAGTAGCATGTAAATTACTACATTGTATGTATAGAATATTCCACCTATTACAGAATAGTAGCATGTAAATTACTACATTGTATGTATAGAATATTCCACCTATTACAGAATAGTAGCATATAAATTACTACATTGTATGTATAGAATATTCCACCTATTACAGAATAGTAGCATGTAAATTACTACATTGTATGTGTAGAATATTCCACCTATTACAGAATAGTAGCATATAAATTACTACATTGTATGTATAGAATATTCCACCTATTTTAGAGTAACCTATATTTCACTCTTATTATATAATCCAACTATTACACGTTTGACCTCGTTCTGAGTTTCTAGAATTTAATAAACGGATGTTTCATTATGTCTGTTATGATGGATGTAATGTCTTTTAGAATATTCCATCGACAATACAGGTGTGACTCAACTTAAAAATGAATAGAATACACTTGTGTAACCCTTACATGTATGCGTGGAATATTCCACCTGTTTGCCGTGTTAACAATGATAGCAGCTGAACAATCTTATCATTCCCAACGTTAATGGTTCAGCCTTATCCATGTGAAATGATATATACTGAGCGCAACCTAACACTGGCTAAGGAAAGTACCTAGTACACCGTGTAGATGTGTCCAGTATCCTTACAGCGCCTTAACAATAACAAGTGTGTGACTGTATAGAAATTCTGCTGTTTTCTCGGTTATTGACCGAGTGTACAAAGCTACAGCGCTTCGCTTCGGGACGCTAGCCTGACAGTGTGTGCTGTAGACCGAAATACCCCCGTGTGGGCCTCGCGCATCTACCCGGAATAGGGCGATACGTGTAACAGTCGCGAGCGGCCTGAGGACGAGGGTGGCAGGTCGTTGCCTGCGGACAGTGTTTACCAGAAAAGGATAAGATTATACTGTTATACAATAATAACTATATTTAGATACCACGATATTGACGGAAGACAGTGTTCATTATGTGTAACAAGCACGTGTGCTGTAATTTATAGTGTATTTAAAAGTCTTGTTGTGCTGCTGTTATTTGTAAACATGGAAACTAATATGGAAGTAACACGTTCCAACGGCCACTTGGATCCAGGTACTGCTGCTGGGGACAATGACGTCACGCCCCCATGTGGGTGGTTTTCATTTCATCCTCGTATGTGCCAAAAATTCCGGACCCCCAGATGGCTGCTGTTTTGTTTATGTTGGGTATCCTTTATTCAGGTGAGTAAATGTTGCCTTATGTATCATATGTCCTCTGTATGATTGCAATTGAAATACTCGTTCCGGTAGAGTGATCCCACGTTGTAGTATAAGATGTACGTATGGACCGCAGTAACCTTACTTAACTGTGACCTGCAAAGATTGCAAATGATACAAAGATTGATAACATGCAGGATGATGATTTCTTATTTAAACAAACTTTACGAGTGGTAATCAGAATTCACACTCGTAGTACATGTTCTGGTGGGGAAAACCCCATATAGTTGATAAAACGAGGGAGACGAGATATTGTGTCCCGTGGATGAAGAATGGGTATTATATTGTGTAAATGTAGGTCGGTTTATGTGACTTTTGAATGAGTAATACCGGTTTATTAGGACCAAACGACTTCTTGACCCCATTTCGTGCACGTGGTTACAGCACCCGTCCGCTCGTCTCATTCGGGTTGTTCGGGGTTCGAAACTTATCATTACTTTTATTAATTATATTTTAATCCATTTCATAACCGAATATTTCAGTACACGTACCAGAAGACTGATCTCTTTTGGTATTTGCACCATAATTGAAATGGCTAAGGAAGGTTGTGTAAGTGGATGTCAGAACGTTTTCATCAACTTTGTAACTTTGTAGATTTGGTTTGGTTTATTGTTGATTTATGTCCTATTAACAGCCAGGGTCATTTAAGAACGTGCCAGGTTGGTGGAGGAAAGCCGGATATCTTTCATCACAACTAGTTATAAACGTAGTAGTGACGATTACTACTACATTGTCACCATCATAGAACAATTCTCTACCAGTCTGTGATGTTACGTACACTGTCGTGTTTTCTTTAGAGCTATGTGACGGAATTGCATATCTTGTCGCATGTTTGGAGGAATATGTGTTCTTTTCTGCTTAAACATTTCATTCGAGATGAGACAATGGTAATTTATGTTAAGTAATCGAGCTTCTCAATACTTTTTCTAAATAAAAAAAATCAGGATATTTGTATGTAGGCAGTGTTCTGTATAACGATAGGTCTCGACCAGACAACAGACAACAGGCCCCATATTAGAAATTTAGTCACTCATGAACAAATTACATATTGCACGCGACGAGCGAGTACAGAAAACATTTGTGAATAAGTTGACTTTCATTGTTAATTTTCCAAAACTATCCCCAGATCGTTTAGCTCCGTTTACGGTGCGTAAATTATGTCATGTTCAAGGAATTTGTGTTTAGAATCAAAACTGTGTGATTAGAATGTATACTTCATAATCAGTAGCGTGTTTCACAACAGACAATTTTATGACAGTACGATGATGTAATGGCAGTTTTTACAGCGTTAAGTTATACAAAGTTTCGTCGTCCAGGAGTCATACGTCACGTCATGTGTAAATGTGGCGTGAAAAACAATCATAATTTGGTTTGAAAATTTCATTTAATTTACTCCAAATGTTAAGGAAGGATTTCAACCTTTGTAGGTAAATTTAATACCTGGAAGTTTTGAAGTATTAAACAAAAAGGTAGTATCAGAGTTATAAGTACTGTATCACTGTAGTCATCTTGGCTATCATATCATATGTTTTAGTGCCATGTAGTTACACAAGTAAACAACAAGTGTAGCTATACAAACAACACGTGTAACGGGTACAAACAGTATGTGTAACGGGTACATACAACACGTGTAATGGGTACAAACAATACGTGTAACGGGTACAGACAACACGTGTACCTGTACAAACAACATGTGTAACGGGTACAAACATCACGTGTAACGGGTACTTACAACACGTGTAATGGTAACGAACAACACGTGTAACGGGTACAAACAACACGTGTACCTGTACAAACAATATGTGTAACGGGTACAAACACCAAGTGCAATGGGTACAAACACCAAGTGCAATGGGTACAAACAACATGTGTAATTGGTACAAACAACATGTGTAATGGGTACAAACAACACGTGAAATGTGCACAAACAACACGTGTAACGGGTACAAACAAACAGCATGTGCAATGGGTACAAACAACACGTGTAGTTTTACAAACAACATATGTAAAGGGTACAAACACCACGTGCAATGGGTACAAACAATATGTGTAACGGGTACAAACACCAAGTGCAATGGGTACAAACAATATGTGTAACGGGTACAAACAACATGTGTAACGGGTACAAACACCACGTGCAATGGGTACAAACAACATGTGTAATGGGTACAAACAACAAGTATAATGGGTACAAACAACACTCGTAACGAATACAAACAACACGTGTTTCGGGTACAAACAACACGTGTAACGGGGGTTTCAGTGACATTTACTGTGATAAAGACGTCTAAGGTTACACCAACAAACAGGTGGAGTGCATTGACCAGTTCTAAATTATATTACACACATAAAATGGCGATAAAAAGGTTGTTTTTTCTCTTCTTAATGAATCTAACATCACACAGGTATAAAACCATGTATACTTCTGACTCACAGCGGTCAGGCAATAAAAAAACCCAGACAAATTCAGACACCACATTAACCCATCCGGTAAATGATTGATCGGCATGACACGGTAAAATGTAAGCTTTTAATTCTAGCAAAAGGGTTGGGTTGATAATCAAAAGATCCAGGATGTTGACTGTATTAGCGCGGATGTGAACTCCGCGCCCGTATTGTAGATTAGCCTGAATTCTGTGAAATGCTTAAGGAGGCTGTAGTTGTCATCATTATAAAGCTTTTATTATCGAAGACAAATTAAAATGGAGAACAGACTAAACATACTTAATGTAAAAACAGGGTCAATAACTACGTACAAAATCAGCGTCTAAGTTGGATATTTAAATTCAATATCAGTCTAGAATATGTAACATTTACCAATGGAGTCGATGGCCACAAAACTTAGCTTCCATAATCTTCATCTGCATCTTTTTAACCCTACGTTTGATTGCCGTCTGTTGTCGACATCTTTTTAACCCTACGTTTGATTGCCGTCTGTTGTCGACATCATTTTAACCCTACGTTTGATTGCCGTCTGTTGTCGACATCTTTTTAACCCTACGTTTGATTGCCATCTGTTGTCGACATCTTTTTAACCCTACGTTTGATTGCCGTCTGTTGTCGACATCATTTTAACCCTACGTTTGATTGCCGTCTGTTGTCGACATCATTTTAACCCTACGGTTGATTGCCGTCTGTTGTCGACATCTTTTTAGCCCTACGTTTGATTGCCGTCTGTTGTCGACATCTTTTTAACCCTACGTTTGATTGCCGTCTGTTGTCGACATTTGATTGCCGTCTGTTGTCGACATCTTTTTAACCCTACGTTTGATTGCCGTCTGTTGTCGACATCTTTTTAACCCTACGTTTGATTGCCGTCTGTTGTCGACATCTTTTTAACCCTACGTTTGATTGCCGTCTGTTGTCGACATCTTTTTAACCCTACGTTTGATTGCCATCTGTTGTCGACATCTTAATCTCCTTTTTATTTGTAATATTGTCGTTACACTGAAACAAACCAAAATGATCATCTAATGACAATTTAAAATTGGATCGCAGTAGCCCAAGTAGAAAATTGGTCTATCTAACTTTATCTGAAGTTCAGAGGTGTGTTGTCCGCAATCCTTACCCTGGTCTGTTTGTGTTTCTCGGGTGAAGATCTGAGGTGTGTTGTCCGCAATCCTTACCCTGGTCAGTTTGTGTTTCTCAGGTGAAGATCTGGGGTGTGTTGTCCGCAATCCTTACCGTGGTCAGTTTGTGTTTCTTGGGTGAAGATCTGAGGTGTGTTGTCCGCAATCCTTACCCAGGATAGTTTGTGTTTCTCGGGTGAAGATCTTGGGTGTGTTGTCCGCAATCCTTACCGTGGTCAGTTTGTGTTTCTCGGGTGAAGATCTGAGGTGTGTTGTCCGCAATTCTTACCCAGGTCAGTTTGTGTTTCTCGGGTGAAGATCTGAGATGTGTTGTCCGCAAACCTTACCCAGGTTATTTTGTGTTTCTCGGGTGAAGATCTGAGGTGTTTGTTCAATGAGAGAACTACCAGCTACTACAAGGAAATTAAAACCCGCTATAACAGGAGTTTTCGTTCTATGTCTAAGCGTTGTCCCACCGATGATGTCAGTGTTCTGGCGACGAGATACAACGTTAAGAAAAATAATTCTTTAAGCGTTTAAAGAATGTCATGTGTTGTCACAGTAGCGATTTGAAAGGCCTAAAAGTCAAAAGTGATGACGGTCAAGACTCATATGACCAATGAAGCTGATATGACGTCATGTCATCAAGGAGGTTTATGAATACATATGTTTTGGGAATCCGCTAGACTCATACAACGAGCGAAGTCTAGCGGTGAAAAGTCACGGTAACTAAGGCAGGTAACCCAGTCTACAATGAAATCGACTGTTGAAGGTCTCTAGCTTGACAACGGGCGAAACAATTGTTTCATTATTATAACGTTAAGCAGGGAGCCTTCCAATGATTAACTTCCGGTGACTGATAATAAACTTCCGGTTAAAATCATTATTGTATTGAAATATTGTAGATAATATCGTCCATCATTTTGTTGTTTGTGGAATAGATTGCTTTGATATGATCGGTTTTGTCTGAACTCGGAAAGAGACATGAGAAAGATTGTTAAGTCCCATAGTGTGAAGATACGCGCGGTTTGTTTGCCCGTAACGCGTTTTCATTTTACAAAACAAGACCGACGCATACTTAATATACTTCCTCTCGTCAACGTCATGCACGAGGTATTTTATATATCAGTCATACATAACGTATTGTAAATGTTTATCATGTATCTAACATTCATAATTACACAGATGGGCCACAATTTTTATCAAACGTTTAAACACAATTTTACAAATAATATAGGTTTTTAATCCTCTCGGATTCATCTTCTTCAATGTTAAAGGTATTTATTATGGAAGAATGTTCATGCATTGTCGGTGTTCCTGTAGGCATGAACAGGTCCCATAAACGATACGATTGTCGTTGTCATGGTAACACAATAGTCATATGGTATGTTGTAC